GTAGTCACTGCTTGGAACACACTTGGAGAAAGTGAATATGATGACACAATGGTTAAGAGTATAACAATGACTAAGAAAGAAAGTGGTAAGAAAATACATAATTACATATATAGTATTTTTTGGTTTCTAAATGTATAGTGTATAATGGGATCACGGGCTTTGTACGCTGCTATAATGCGCCGTTAGCTTTTTATCGCTATGTGGTCATGTGTCTTACAATCGGAGGCATATATTACATACACGGTGCTGAGATTTCCTTTAATGGTTTTCTTGTAACTGTCCCCCCTTGGCCGAGCTCCCCTTTGAAGGGAGAGAGCAACAAGTTCAATGAAGGGTATTCTATGAGTTTATAGCTTCGACATGGAACAATTTTGGAGAAAGTGAAATAAACAAGTATCAGATTTAAAATTGCATAGAAGTAAAGATGCCTGAAGCTAGACCTTAATATGCAAAAAACGAATAGGAGTAAAAAAGGTAAAAGAAAAGAAAAACCGTTATGCATAATTTATTCTTTATCGTTAATTAAGGAAAACAATTATCAAGAAATCTATTACGAACTTGTCTATTTGTTTTGCACTATGCAGGTACTAAAAGGCCTTTGGGTGAAAAGAATTCCAAATGTAAGTGGATATAATGTACTTAGTTCATATCTTTAATTCATGCTGAACTTCTATACTATTTTTATAATCACATGCATTTTCTATTAAAAACGTTACAGCGAGGACAAACTAACCGGGACTACTCAAACTTAACTTAAGATTTAGAAAATTGAAACCTGCGTTAACAACAAATACTTATATCAAAACTGTTTAAAAAATATGTATTCTTTTAATATAGAAGTGATGTCGTGCTTATCTATCAGTTTGAAACTTTTAATTGCTATTCATAGATGTTTTTAAAGAAGATAGGTGCTTTTTAGGTTTGACAGGTGTTGGCGTCATCGCTGCAATACTTATAGCATCACTGGTTCTTAATGTGCTGCAGTTCCTGTTCATATGGAAAAAGATAAGACTTAATGGTATGACAAATATATATTTTCGTAACTGCAAAAAACTGAAAAATAYAAATAAATAAATTTTATTTATTTAATTTTAAACATTGTTTCCACTAGTAACTGTGATCTCCGTGAGATCCTAACATACGTTAAATATAACCCTATTCAGACCGTGGGGAAGAGGGGGTTGAATTAAAGCCCGCTCCAGCTTTCACGTTGTTTAACTTTTGAACATCTAAAGCTAAAACCACAAAAAATTGTGACTTTTCCTAACATTGATCTGGTTACGTTTTTGATATAATAATTCTTGTTCACGAACTTTAATATTTCCATTGTAACCGATGATTTCTGACAGACAGGTTTTGTAAAATTCACTGATTTCGGTTTATTCACTATGATTTCCAGGTTTTCTGGTTTTCCCCAATAATTTACAACACCTTTTCAAATTAGATGCAAATTTTGTGATTTGTGATTTAAGGTGACTGCCTACTTTTGAAAATTGATTTAAACTTCGATTTTCCGAATTAAAATTTAATGCTGATTCCAAATCTGGTAAGAAAAATAGGGTGTCCCGAGCTCGCTTTCGAGATAATCAGCATTTAATGGAAGCCTATGCACGAGCTTTTGGAGGAAAAAATGGCGCCACCGCAAGTGATTATATCCTTCTCTGTAACTACATCAAGTACAGGAGGCGGGCCTCAAAAGCCATCCTCCCGGTCCTAGGAAGCAGGAAATAAGCCCGGTCTGAATATAGAGTGTTGAATACATATTAAGAATCATTTATTGTTTATTATATTCATTTATTCCAAAACAATTTTCTGCGATGGCTTATTTTGTAGAGTTGATGTTGAGATAAATTATCCAATCGCCAATATCTAACAATTCTCGCTATATCATATTTTCAATCAATAGGTGGTATTTATTCTATATATTATTTTTTAGAGATTTCATTCAAAAGTTAAACGAGATTTACCTGTAAGGTGAAATTTGATTAGAATTCTACGAGTCAATGATCGGGAGTGTGAAGTGTGAAGTGTGGAGTATGGAGTGTAGAGTGTGGGGTTACGTTAGAAAGCAACCATGGAAAAAAATAGCAATAACCAGGCTGGTTTGGCTTTTGATAACTAATGAGCGGCTGATCCTTGATAGGCTGTCTTAAACCACTAGTCCTCTTGACATATTCTAGCACAATGCATATCATACACATTCAATGAATACGGCACGGTTTGACGTCTCTGTTCTGATAGGAATGCCATTAACATAACTAGCTTGTGGGCGAAGTCTCTCAGCGTAAGGATCTCTGGTTCTGTATAGCCCAAAACATTTTTTTTACATCTCAAGTCTCAGAATATTTAGGGAGAGAAGCTAAGACTGTTGTTCGTTACCAAACAGCTTCCCAGTAATTGGGATGTAGGGAGCACACAAGGTGCCGTGTTCTTTGCTTAAACAAGGTCTAATGAAAGCACGTCTATGCTGAGACAGGCTTAGCCAGGAGTTGCTGACCTTAAACACTGATGCTATTTCACTCTTAGGCCATAATAATCTATAATAATTTTGCTGCTCAGCCCTACTTTTTGAGTTTTTTTGGAACTAGTGACACGGAGGCTCTATCATCGCTACCGTTTTGCTCATTTTCTAGCTATCCAAAAGGACGCAGCAATTAAAGCAAACAGCATATCCCCGGGATCACATACACAAATTGATTTCCCAGGCTTGCGCTCTCTCTCACATGACTCCACCGGCCAATGGCCAATGATGAAGTAGAATTGCCAATATATTTATATAAGAACATACATAATAGGTAAATTACGAGCCTTAGATGTCATACAAGCCTGACTGTGCTGACGAGGTCCAATACAGGCCGAAACAGCTGTCCACAGTTTCTAGTTGAGCTGTCTCATTTTTTTACGCGACTTGAAGTTGTGAAAGGTTTGTATGGCACTCTTCTTCAGTCGTTTCATCTAAGGCTCGTAATTTACCTATTACGCATGTTCTTATTTGATATCCGAGCCCATCCCACATGGCGCATTGCCTCATTTATCCGATACTTATAGGCTTTTTTCGAACCAAGATATTGTAGTATTTATTGTATACATTAATAAATAGCACCTATTTATGTATATATATATAAATATATTTGGAGGGCCGTAAGTCAGAAAACTTTAAAACGTTTTGTATTGTCATTGTGTTGGTAATGCACGATTGCCTTCCTTTGCTTGCTTTATTGAGTTAATGTTATTTTTGTTGCTGTAGTTAATTTTCAGTTGTTTTCTAATTTTTTTTTCATGCACTGCCTTCGTAACTGCTAGACGTTTTTCGTTTCGTTGTTTTTTGTAAGCAATGTCAATTATTTGTTAATGGGGCCAAGGGCGCTAGGGCAAAAATTTGTGTTTTTTTTTAGCTTAAATAAGCGTACGCGTCGGTTAATAAGTTAATCCAAATCTCTTGAATAACCAAGAATGAACAGCCTGTTCATTCTTGGTTAATCAAGGGATTTGGATTCACTTATTAACTTATTAACCGACGCGTACGCTTACGTAAGCGGTCACGAGGCAGGTAGTATAGGATACAGTAGTTCGTTACGTACGATTGGACCGTTGGTCACATCAGTATTGTTGGCGTATATAGACAGGAATACGAAACAAATCAAACCAGCACATAACAGGATAGATAAGTAACAGTTTTTAGACAGTTTCTAACGGCTAAAAAACACCAATATAACAGAGTCTAACAGCTAAAAAACCACCAATTTTTGCCCTATTTTTGCCCTAAGCAAAGAAGGACTTAACCAGAAGCTAAAATGTCAAAATTCTCATGTACTATGGTAGATGACTAAAATTTTCCTTTTCATTTTTTTATCATCATTATCAGAGAATAGACGAAATCCAGATAATGAAAGGTATATTATTTTCCCAAATATAATACAAACATAAAGTTCAATATTTCAAAAACCATGAATAATTCATAAGCCTTTGGTCCAATTGGAGCCACCATACACTTGACGTGCATGGACCTTTATACCCGATAAAGTCCTCTTCATTAGTATTCTTTATATAAAGAATACTAATAAGGAAGATCTTTATATCCGATAAAGAACTCTACACTAGTAACCTTTATACTGTATAAAGAATACTAATAAGGACGACTTTATCAGAGATAAAGGTTTCTCAAAATTTAGATGAAGACTTAGAGCCTCATCAAGTTCTCTCTCATACGATCCCCTACAATCCACGAAATCTTATTGACTAGCAATCCTGTCTTGAGACTAGCATGCTGTCTTTAAAATGTGGGAGCCTTTATTGGAAATAACTGCACATGATAGTGATGTACAAACCTCAACTGCGCATGACAGTTACATACGAACTGCTATCGATGTATAAAAGTCCAAGCTCGTGACGTGTATGGTGGCTCCTGTTGAACCAAAATCTTATAAATTGTTCATGAGTGTCTTCAGCAGTTCAAAAAACTTGTAAATCGTGTTTTATCAGGTCTAAAACCACTCGGCTACGCATCTTGGTTTTATTCCTGATAAAACACTCCTACTCGTTTGTTTAACACTACATATATTTACATTTATACAAATATCTAATTTATTCAGTGTATTGAATGATATGAAAACAGAAAAATCGCTTTATTTATTGTTTGTTTTACTCAATGACTGTCAAAATATTTTTCTTGTCTATTAGATCTTATAATATAGTCAAGTAAATCCGCGCGATCTGATTGGTTGAAAAGCATGAACCATTTGCCCATGGGTTGCACGCTCACTTCAGCTTTTTTTGCTTCGGCGAAAAAAAAACCTTTTTGTATCTTTTTGCTGACAATTTATCTAGAAAAGTTAACTGAAAATTATTGAAAAAAATAGCGAAAATACTCATCAGTCTCCGACATTTAGCATAGAGTTGTTATTTGATCAGCCTAGTAATAAAAAATAAAGATTTATTTTCAAACAGTGAGCTGGACAAGATTGTGTTAGAGCGTCACTCCAAAAAGACAAAGYAAACCACAAATCGGTCGGTGTCTACATTCAAAGGGTTTTTAGCAATGATTAAACAAATACAAAAATATTGTTATCGTGTATTTATTCAACAAAAGTATTTCCAAAGTAATAAACTATAAATATCACGCTCACCGTCTCCTTCGCAGCTTCACAACTGCAGTGAAGTCCTTTCTAAAGCTCTACATGGGAGTGAAAGCCGACAAAGCATACTACCCAGAGAAAATTAATCCAGTTCAGTCAGTTAGTTTTGATCCGTGTACAAGAAACTTTCCATTGCTAAGTCATTGTACGATAACAAACTTGAACATCGCCAACAACAACAAAGACAGCCACTGTGTTTTTCTTTGATTTTTTTGGGCATTACTGTACTAAGATGCGTCAACATTTGAAATGTGCTTGGTTTACAGTCGAAAATCACTCTCTCCGTAGTTTTGGACATTTTTGGTTCACTTGTAAGCTAAACTTTTGCCATTATTTTAGTCATATAACAGTCTTCAGTGTAAATCTGTCATTTTCAACTGTTTTTCTGTTTTTTTTGGCGCCTTTGTGAATTTCATTCACGCAAGGATTCATGCGTAAGGAGAACTTAGGGCATGATCAACAAATTAAGTCAATATTTTGTATTCATTTCCTCTTTGTTGACTTGACTATATTATAAAAGCAATGGATCATAAGAAGCGTGCGTCCATCGAGTTATGGATGCACTTGGGAGGTTGCTTAAGCACTCAAAAAAGCTAGAGTTGCACTCCGCTTCGCGTCGTGCAATTCTTACGCTTTTCTTCGTGCTTAGCAACCTCCCGCGTGCATCCATAACTCGATAACTCGACGCACGCTTCTTATGATCCATTCCTTAAATACCAAGAGAATATGAACTAAGAGAAGGAATCCTCGTGCCCCATCATGTGCACACTTTGATGCTATTTTTAGAATGTATTCTAAAAATATCATCCAATGATATTATTTATTTGATCGTTTGATTTTCTGCGGCGCGCTACGCTGTTTGCTAACGTTTTTTGTGCTTTTCTTATGTTAAGCAAACAGCGTAGAGCGCGCGCAGTAAATGCGCGTGCAGAAAAACAAATGGTTTAAAAATAGCATCAAACTGTGCACATGATGGTTACAAGGCTATATAGGTAGGATTCCTTCTCTTAGTTCATTTTCTCTTGATCATACAGATTATAAATCAGTTGGTTTTAAGCGTTGAAAATGGTTATTTTGTATTATGCATCTCATTAGATATTTGTATAATGGATACTACGTTTCTGCAATCGAGTGTATACATAGCATATACCAACTTGTGTACCTCCTTAGAACGTGCACACTCATTGGTTAATTGGAGGTGAATATTGTACGACATTCACCTCTGGATCTCGGAATATTGAGTCAGCAACRAAATGGCATCTATCGGCAATCGTTTTGCTAATTGAAAGTACATGCCATCCCTATCAACACTAAAAAGACAACGAAGTATGGCCTACAAGTTTTGCTAAAAGTTTTGAGTGAATTTGTCCGACAAATTTAAAATTTCTGTTTGTTTGTTTTCATTAATAATTGTATATAAAAATAAGTTACTCTGTACACAAGTTGGGATATGCTACAATAATTATTCGCCTCAGGCTCAGTAAACGTGGATAATATTTACCTCGCCGCCCGAAGACGCGCGTCTCGGTAAATATTCCCCGATATTCACTTGGTCTTCGGCGAATAATTGCTCAATATACATAAACACAGCGATATGAAGAAATTCTGATCGTTTTGAATATATTTTATACATATATACGAGTATATAAAGTATTTAGTAAAAGAAATCATGGGATCCATCTCTGATATTTTTTTCAGAAGTCCTAGTGATAGCAACCCGAAAAAAGTCAGCGATAACAATCCATAATTTCTGATATACTTTTGATGTACTTGTATATATGTACCAATATATACATTAATAAGTCCACTTTCTTTTTACTATTAAACCCCACTGTCAGTTGTTCTGTTTCTTTTAGATATACCAACCAGGGAAATGATGATCAAGTATATGACGTATGTAAATTATGATATAACAAATTAAATAGCACAAGGTGGCACGAAATAATTTTATATCGTCAGCGGAATGACATACGATAGCGCGATACTGTCTAGAGACGGGGGTAAAACGTCATCTCAGTCATCTTCAGGCTTATTAACCGCCCCGGGCTCAGGAATGTGTGAACGAGACATTACGAATATGAAGTAAAACAAGTGCTTTTTAACGAATCAAATCCACACTCTACCTGTTTTGTAGTGACAAAAAAAAAAAAAATCAACTCACTGTTAGCAAAGTAACAAAGATTTATTGGGGGTTGTAGCTAGAATTAGCCGGATTAATGGCGTACTGCATTTAGATGTTTTAAACTCGACATTTTAGATATTTAAAAAAAAATTTTTCTTTAGTTTTAACAACGGTAGTTCTTTTTCTAAACTATCTTAGTTCTGCGATGTAAATACCTAGACTTTCCAAATGAATTATGTCTTCATTGCTTTTATTAACGTTCTTCTTTCTCTTTTCTTAGAATGCATTTGAATTGCAACAAAATTCGTCATCCCATGCTGTACTTGAATCAAAAAACCCAGCTCCGGATTATGAAGCTGTACAGCTGCAGCGGGGACAACAACAAAAAATTCGCTCCAAAAATCTTGAAAACTCAAATTCTTACGAAGCCCCCTCTGCCACTACTCAACCAAGTATTTACCAGTCTTTGTCGACTACAGGCCCTGTACCGATGAACAAAAAACCGGTGTACGAAACTCTTCGTACAGGAGTCCCGCGTAATGACAATGAGACAAATATGTACCAACCGCTTGGTCTAAGAAACCAAAACTCAGATTACCAGACCCTGCATATTGATGGCAGTGATTCTACGATATGATGGCAGTTGTCATTGGATTAGCGAACAAACAGCAATACGAAGCAATAGACCTTTAGCATGACGTTCTTGCTACTGAAATACCGCAACCTCAAACTGCAGTTTGACCTTAGGCATTTTGTGGGAAACTTTCGACGTTTATCAAGGCGTCATAACAAAGTAATTGTTGCTGGAAGAGCCGCGATATAAAATTTCATCGATGCCGATTGTATCTCCGTGTTTGCGAGCGTGTATTATGAGAGAAAATCAATGTTTTTACAGACTAAGCTATACATCAGTTTTCTAATTACTATTTCTTATCATATGAAAACAAGATAAAGAACGATCAATTAGCTACTAAAAATATCGATATAAGATTTTAGTAAGGCTACCATCACGTACAAGCTTAGATAATGGTATGCTTTGAACATACAAGTAAACCTCTTAAACACTCCCATTAGCATGTACACCTCTGGTTACACCCTAAACACTCTTTACCCCTTTGCTTAGTTATTTTAGCACTATTCGTTTAAATCTTATGATATAAATATTCCTCACAGTCTTTTCTATACATTTACCATATATTCAAATATTAACTTTAGTTTAAGCTATGTTTAATTCTAAGATTTTCACTCGTATTACTCTTTGATAAGATATCACACTTAGGAATTTACTATTTCCTTTAGCCAATCAAGACTCAGCGATAATATCACATTGATTGTAGACTGACACCTGTCATGAAGTTATYATAAATAGAGCTCATGTAATAAATTTAAGTCACTAAGACAGAAGAGAGAAGTGAATAAAGATCCCATAGCTCCAACCGAGAGCGGTCACCCATAACACGTGTTTCTGAGCCTTACCCATAGCCGTTTGTAGTTAGCGGTAAACATAATGCGATAAACATAATTTAAACTAGTTAGAGCTAACCTGCGGGGTCATATATGGACTTTATAGCCACTGCAGGGGCGTCTTGTTGCTTTCCACATCTCTTTCTGATATGACCCTAATAGGAGTCTCCTGTCGCAATCATTATGTAAACAGATAGCGGAATGAGATTGTTTAGTATTGATTTTATTAAAAGGCCAATTTTTAAAATCTCGGAGATGATTTAAAAGTAGTCTCGGAGAGTGCCCGTGAGAATCTGGGGCCGAAAATAATGACGACTGCGGAGGTGTCTAAATCCCAAGTTGTTCAAATTAAAAATTCATGCCTGCTAGACAGGAGTCTTTTATTTTTAAGTTCTACGCTATTACTAATACCTTTCAACTTTAAATAGAAGTTTTTCCGATTAAGTTATTTTTACAGCCCGTTTCATGTTTCTGCGACCTAGCCGGCTCCAGTCGCCTTTTTACGGTAGCTAAGATGCCAGACGCGTTGAGTCGGTTAGGTCGCAGAAACAAAAAGGGCTGTAATGAAATGTAATTGTCGTTGCAATCTTCTAGTGTACCTAGTTGATACTTAGCGTATGATCGCTATTGCATTTTTAATACTTTTATGCGCAGACTAGTTGCGAAAGATTTGCTTTCTATTTCATGACAACTTTAACATTACCTGGTTTTATACACCGAATCAGAATATGGCGATAAGGTTGAATGAATTACCATTGTTTTGGATGGACTAGCAACGTGTAAAAGCGCTTTCACATGTTGTGCGGTTACTCAGCCCAGAAAAATGGTTATTCAAATCGGTCACCACATTTTGATTCGGTATATAGACCAGACCTTTCAGGAATTCGCTTGAGTGACCACGTAGCAAAGGTTTCAAGTGGAAGTTGGACTTGATAAAATCTATGCTTATATCATGTGCTGATACGGTTACGAAGGACATCTAGCCAACTTATTTTTGTTTGGTTACAACAATGGAGACCATGGGATGATATTGCATGATATTTGTCCCGAAGAATAAGTATACAGTTTTATTGGGCAATATGAATATATTTGCAAAAAAGCTTAAAAAACAAATTCAAAATGATAAACAGATAAACATCTTGGCCCGGTTGCACGAATGGTAGATAGCGCTATCCGATGGATAAATCCTCATCCAGTGGATAAATCGATGCTTTTATTCAATAAATTTATCCCTTGGATAGGAGTTATCCGTCGGATAGCGCTATCCACCCTTCGTACAACCGGGCCCTTAAGTGTTGTATACTAAGCTACTGTCAAATTAGCTAAACAATGACCTTTCCCCGAATTCGCTTTTCTCATGAAGCGGGTTACGGACTTAAAAGCATCAAAGCAACAAGACCTTCCCAAGTTTTAAACCTTAGTTTCGTGGCTCAATTCAAGCGAAGTCGGGGAAGATCTTACTACGCCATCCCGGGAGAGAAGACTCATTCCTTCACTTTTTGAAGCATTACTGGATTTCCTCGCTTGCGATTTTTCTTCTGAAATACAAAGAAAGTGTTTAGAGGAAAAAGGTTTGTATATCACGTCATCCTGTTATGACTTTTAGTGCAAGGGGAAAATAACTCTGGTTAAACAGATGTTTAACGAAAAAAGGTTTGGCCTGACTGAAGGGTAGGGTAGCATTTTGAGATACTTAGATGCTGGTTCGTGTAAAAGGGATTCTTATCAGGAAGTAACCTTATATTATGTTTTTTTTTTAAAATAACAAACCTAAATGTGACAATTTTTTCAGTTAAATATTTCCTAAAACGAACGAACGAACGTATAATTATACAATCAATCAGTCAATCAATTCAGCAATCAATCAACGCTTTATAGAAATAATTTATCACTAATAAAGCTGAAAATAACTTTTTCCGAGTTCCTTTCGCGTAGTGATAAATGAAAAATCATTCCTATACCTTACTTTCCTAGTTAATAAGTAAATTTCATCATATAATTTGTATGCTCGAATCGTGTGCAAGGCTACTAATCTTAGAGCGCAAGCTCTATATTGGGACCGCTGACTATAAAATGCCGCCTCTTGAGTCAAGATTCGAATATATATAAAGGTTGTTGTCCATTTGGCTTGCCTTGTTTCCGTTGGTATGTTTGTTTATCCTGTTGTCCAATCAGAGAGTTCGTTGTGATGTTATTCTCAACACCCAATTAAATTCGATAGAATTTCAGGGTTGCCCAGACCCTACGATATTCTTACTAAGGAGGCTCTGGGTACGAGAAAGGTTGTTGGACCGTTTTAGGGGACGGAATATACACCAGGAAATATGTCCCCTGAAACTGTTCCGTCACGACCTTTCTTTATTAACTGAATAGTCACGTGCCATACTGATTTGCAAATATGAAAAAGAATAATACAACGAGTCCCACAGTACACTGTAATCCCAACCCGAATTTTTCCTCAACCTCGGAATGGCTAATGAAGACGATTCGTATACAAGCCTGATGATTTGCGAAATTTTCAAAATAAATGTAAGATTAGAGGATTCCTTATAATTTATAGTTAACTGAAACATCCTTACATTCTAAAGAGGAAGCTTTGTTTTGTATTTCATTTTCTTGCTTTTCCAAATTTTTCTTTGCCTTTTTCTGCAAATATCAAAAACAAATGA